CAGGCCCACTTGTCCTCCGGTTCCAGCTGGGTTTGTCCAATGGGGAGCCCCAGCAGGTCAGAGGGAGGGAGCAGAGTGAGCTCAGGTCCTGTATTTCCCTCCTCCCTCCCCGCAGGGTAGCCTTGGGCTGGCTGTAGAACCGCCACCAAATGCCAAAGGGAACAGCTCCTCTCAAGGTGACCCTTCCAGCCTCTCTCCCACTGGGTTCAGCTCCCCCACCTTGTTCCTTTATACTCATGGGTTGTAACACCTGCTACTACCACCCCAGGGGCACTTCACTCTTTTTTGTGGTTTCCTCACACCTGCCCCTTCCTTATGAAGAATCCCTTTACTAAACCCTCCTGGAGTGTGCCACTTGCCTCCTGTCCAGCCCCGATTGATACACCTATGAAGAGATCCACTTGTGATCTCTTTCATTTTTTTCTTTCTTTCTCTTTTTTTTTTGGTGAGGAAGATTGGCCCTGAGCTAACATCTGTTGCCAATCTTCCACTTTGTTTTTTCTCCCCAAAGCCATGGTATATAATTGTATATCCTAGTTGTAAGCCATTCCAGTTATTCTATGTGGGATGCCACCACAGCTTGGCTTGATGAGCCATGCTAGGTCCATGCCCAGGATCCCAACACATGAACCCTGGGCCACCCAAGTGGAGCACACAAACTTAACCACTCGGCCACGGGGCCAGACCTAATCTCTTTCATTTTGATCAACAATCAGAGTTGTGGTGATGGATCTGGTATCCACCAGTTCAACTAATAGAGGGAGAAACGTTTTTGGGAATCATACTCTACCATCGGCCTTTTGATCAGACCCAAAAATCTAAATTAATCATATTTTCCATACGTGCTAAAATGCCTTGTTATTGTATCTTCTCAGTATTTTTTCAATGTGCTTTATATAGTCTTATCTCTTGAAAATTATATAGTTTGTGGGCGATTACCACTTTTCCTTTCCTATACCACTTTCTGTTCCCTTCAAATTCATAAATCTTATTTTTTCATTTGCTTAATTTTCTATGCACTAGTGATTAATTCAACTACACACTCTCTGTCATTGTAAAACCTCCCAAGTCATTTAGACACGTCAGGTAATCTACCAATTTTGTTTTAATGGAAAAGTCTCTTCTGGAGCGTTCATAACTGCTCCGTGTAGACTGGTAGACGGGCTGTCACAGCTGTCGTCCTGGGACCTTCCTTCACCGCGGTCCTGGGGGTTCTTACCACCTCTCTCTTTCATTGGATCCCATTTCTTCCTTTGTTAATTTGGTCCCTTGGTTTGGTGAAATGCAACCTCCAGGAGCGTCGAGTAGAAGGTGCATGGAAGGCAAATTTTGAAACCTTACATGCCTGAAAATATCTTCGTTTTATCCTTGCACTCAATCGATAGTTTTCCTAGGTATACAATTCTGGATTAAAATAATTTTCCTTTGCAATCTCGAAAGCATTTCTCCAGTTCCTTGTCACTGCCAAGGTTGCTAGTGAGATTTTTCTTCCTTATCCTTTGTATGTAACTTTTTTCTCTCCCTCTGTAAGCTTGTGGGGTCTTTTCTTTGTCCCAAGTGTTCTACCATCAATGACGATGAACCTTGGTGTGGGTCTATTTTCATCCATTATTATTGATATTCAGTGAGCCATGTCGATTAAGAAACTCACATTCTTTAATTCTGGAACATTTTCTTAATTTCTTGTTAAATATTTGCCTTTTCTCTCTTTTTCTGAAATCTTATCGATTGGATGATGGACTTTTTGGATGATACCTCTTACTTTTTTATCTTTTGTCTTTTATTTTCTGTCTTTTGATTTTCTTGTTTTGCTTTCTCTGGGATTCCCATGACTCTATCTTCCTCCTATTCCACTGAATTCAGATTTTTTTTCTGCTATTATATTTTTAATTTCCAAGATCTCTTTTCTGAGAATTCTTTGAATATTCTTTTTTTATAGTATCCTGATCTCATTTCATAGCTCAAATATTTTTTCTTTTTTTGTCTAGTATATTACTTAGAATGTGTGTATCTTTTATTCTGTTTTTCACTTGACACTTCTGACAATTATTAAGTTATCATTTCTCAGCTTATAATCCACTGCAGAGTTTTTCCCTTCTTTCCATGCACTTCTGTACTTCCTTGCACTTTCCTTGCACAAACTGCTGATTTGGAAGGCTTACTTCCCAAGGAGGGAATAATCCACTGGGAGTGCAACAATAGTTCCATTGAATAGGAAGAAGAGACTACTACCTAGTCAATTTGGAATCCTCATGCCACTTAACCAAGATGAAAAGAAGGGGATTAGTCCACTGGCTGGAATGATTCAACCTAATTACCAAGAGGGAATTGGGTTGCTGCTAACAACTTGGAGGCCTCTGTGTGGAAGCCAGGGGATTCCCTGGGCTGCCTTTTAGTACTTTCGTGTCCCAAAGTAAAGTCAGTGGAAAATTACAGGATTCAAATATATCAGGACGACTGAGGATTTGGACCCTTCAGGAATGAAGTTTGAGCCATCCCACCAGGTAAATAAACCCAACCAGCTGAGGTTATGGAGGAGGGCGGAGAAAACGTGGAATGAACAGTGGGAGAAGGAAGTCAGAAATATTATTCCTGGTCATTTATGTTTTGTCTACTATACTTTTTTAGTGGGTTATAGTTGGAATATTGATAAGCTGTTTTAGGGGAATATATGTCCTGTAAATGGCCATTTTATTGAACTCTCTTATTTGACAGTTTTCAATGAATCCTTGGGTTTTTCTAGTTAAACTAATCTACAAAGAATAATAAATTTATCCTTCCTTTCCAATTATTATATGTATTTTTTTAAAGATTTTATTTTTTCCTTTTTCTCCCCAAAGCCCCCCGGTACATAGTTGTATACTCTTCGTTGTGGGTCCTTCTAGTTGTGGCATGTGGGATGCTGCCTCAGCGTGGTTTGATGAGCAGTGCCATGTCCGCGCCCAGGATTCGAACCAACGAAACACTGGGCCGCCTGCAGCGGAGCGCGCAAACTTAACCACTCGGCCACGGGGCCAGCCCCACCAATTATTATATTTTTAAATTCATTATGCTTTTTGTAAGTGATTGTGGGTTTTCTAAGTTACAAGCATAGTACTTGTTCATAGTAAAAATTTATATGTAGGAACAAATAAAAGTTCTAGTTTTCTCTGAAGCTCACTCCAGCTCCACTACCCAAACATAAGCAGGATTAATAGTTTAGAACACGTTCTTCCAAGCTTTTCTCTGCACACAGACTTACACGTTTGCATATATGTTTCTTCATTAACAAAAATGGAGTTGTGTTTTTGCTCTTCTGCAACTTGTTTTTTTATTTGCTTTAACATATTTGGATGTCAATAAAGACAGTTCTGTCTTATCCTTTTGAACAGCTGCTTATTACACCAGATCAAAGTTCTCCCGTTTATCTATCCAGTACCTTATTGTTGAGCTTTTTTCCCAATTTTTCTGTTTTTTTTCTTGCAACGTACATCCTTCAATGTACATCTTTGTATATTTGTATGATTTTCTTTTTCTGCTAGACAAGTTCCTTAAAGTGGAATTGTTGGGGAAACATTTTGCAGTTTTTAAAGAATAATACCATTACGTTGTTGTGACTAAGGCTGCACTGCATTGAGAAAATAATTTTTTTAAAGATATTCACCAATGAATTAAGACTGCTTTTTGCATTTTCTTCCTTAGACTTGAGTAACACCACACGTTTAAAGCAGAAAAGATGCTCCTTAATTCTGCAGGATTTACAGCTGGAGAAATACTGGCTTAAGAAACAGACATCTTGTTTCTTGAAAATTGCTTTCAATCACTAGTTCACCGTAAAAGAAAACCTATCAACATAACTGGCAATATGTACTTTTTAGATTATAACTGTACAAACACACCAATATAAAAGATTTCTCTGGAATTGACCCACCCCTGGCATTCATCCAGGTAAAGTCACAAGGAAGAAGAGAACTGTTTCCCTAACTGCTCACATTTCCCCAGCACTCGTTTCAGTCCATCCCACTGAGCCCTATTTTTGAATTCTCTTCCTTCCTTCAGCAGGAGGGAAAAGGACTGAGCTCCAGACCTCTTCCCCACCACACCTCAGCTACACAGAGCTTTGAGGATGCCACGATTAAGGACTGGATGACATGCTTAGTCAGCAGCCCTGCTCCTCTTCAGCATCCCTCTGAAGGGAGGTGGGGAAGGGAAGGGTGAGAAAGTGCATCGTCTCAAACACAAGAGAATTAATGAGTATCTCAGTGGCTCCTACCTTTTGAGGGGCAGGTTTTATAGTAGATAGCGAAGAATAAATAAGGATTCACTCATCTGGGAGATTTCCCTAAGATCGTCTTTTTCCCCAACACTTTACAATTTATTGAGGATGTACTCTGCGCCCAGCATTAAGCTAGGCATTAGGAGCAAAGCACTGAAGAAGGTAAGACTGTCCAGAGCAACAGTCTTTACATTTTTTTCTAGTGTACTCTCTGAAGCAATTTCAAAAAACGACATGGTCCCTTGCACATCTTTAAGTTGATCTATTATTCTAAAATTAAACTGGTAAGGTTTCTGTTATTTGTGCCTGGGTGGCAAATACATTGCTCTGGTGTTAAAATGGAACCTGGGAGAAGTTTCTTCATAATACGGGACTTTTTTTTTCCCTAACTCCATTAAATTAACATTTATTAATATTCTGAATTCTAATCTAGCTTTGATTGAAGAAAAAAAGACGAGATTTTCATCTAATGAAACAGAACTTAAAAGGGCTGCCGAAGCCTCATCACCCACCATCCTAACAGCATGCAAGGCGTTGAGTCGTTTAAAGCAGCTGCTCCTCTGTGTGACTGTAGAGTTCAGAGTCGCAGGATTCTTAAGCAGGAATTTTACAATTTTAGACAGGGAGCTTAGTGAATATCTGCTCCAATCTTCTGCTCTTCAGAGGAAGCAATTGAGACCCAGAGAGGCCAAGTGACTTGACAAGGTTGCGTAGCCTGTTGGTGAACTTGGGATCCTTGGTTAGCATTTGGTGACCATTTCATTACTGCGTGATCAGAAATGCCACCACCTCTTCAGTAGGTTTAACTAAAAATTATTGGGAGCAAATAACAATAGCAACCCAGTAATCCTGCATGATATAAGAATGAGGCACAGTCCCAAATAGAATCACTTCTTTTTTAATGGGAGAAAATAACAACAATGACAACAACAACAATAATACTGTGTTATGTACGAATGAGACAAAGTCCTAGATAGAAGCGTTTCTTTTCACTTCCCCCTGTATTTTTATCATTTTATTTCTTCCACACTATCTATGAAAAATTTTATTTAAAGTTTCAAATTAGTTTTACATTTCTGTTTGGGACACATGTACCATCTTTTTCTTTGATTTGTACATCTCACTTCAATTTCACTGAGAAAAATGGAAATAAATTCGATTTCATTTTACAAAGATAAAACCTAGGAGGATTAACTCTCATCACTTAGTGCCCTAGGTAATACAGAGAGTTTGACAAATGATGCAATCTTTAAAAATAATTTTAGGATGCACCTTTGAGCCAATCAATACCAGTTGAATCAAGTGGTTAGAAGAAGCTTTTAAAACTCTGTTATCTGAGTGAAATAATTTTGTTCTGTAGCTCAATTATTAACAATAACATAACAACTTTCCAGTGTAGTCAAAATTCAGTTTGGAAACTAAATAAAGTTTATGAACAAGTGTGAAAAGTCTGTAGGAATGCTTCACTGAGTCACTATTCAAACTAATAGAAGAAGAGACTTCAAACATATTTAGTCACTGTTCCTATTTGCGATACAATTTTCTAATAATAGAAATGAGAAACTTTACAAAAGGAACTAGATTGCAGAACTTTGTAGCTGACTACCGGTATCGAGATAGAAATCCGCCACCTTTCGTGCGGAAGTCTTTATCATGCACAGACTCTGACGTACAGTACAAACTACTGTTTTTAATGCTACAAATAGTATCTGGTTTTATGTTCTCCCAGGACAACGGAAGTTAACATTTACTGGATCCTACGTAAATTTATAACCTGAAAAAGAATGTGTATGGGGGTTCCTCACTTGAAGAAAACCTAAAATAAAACACAGTATAATAAAAACATATATATGTGGGGTGATAATTCACACTGCAAGTTTTTACCATGAAACAGGAGTGCCCCAAACATCAAGAAGAGAATTGATTTTGCAAATCCCTTTGCGTGTAATGTTTGACTAAAGTGAAGGGCACCTGTTTTATTTATTTACAAAAATTAGGTCAACTGCAGCCTGGGCCTCCTCGGTGCCTGTCCTCCAGGCTCACCTTCCCCGTGCGTCTCCCGGGCTGCAACCCACACCATCCTCATCCCATCGCTTTGTGGATCAGTGCAGATTTTTCACCTTTACCCCCCACACAATTCCAGGCTTATCTTCGCATTACCAATATCTCATGAAAGTGCTCAGCAGGACACGAGAGCAAAAGGACGTTCTCCTCTAGGACTCCACTCTTGTCCCGCAGAAAAATGGCAGAAGCTTTGACGTTAGAGCTTTTTCATTAAAATCACCCAGTTCTAAAGAGGGCTGGTTACCACACAAATCCCTGAGTGGAAAGGAAGATGTCTAAAGATGTGTCCTTCCTGCTAGGGGACATTTCCCCAGGGTGGGGGTTGGTGGGGTGGGGCTTGGGAGAATTAAGTTACTGACATTACTTCATGTAAAATTTAACGAAGTCACGTTTATGAGCTCTTTGAAGATCTTAGTAATCTTATGAGCTGAGACACAGTTTAAGTCTGTATTGTCATCGTGTTCTCGAAGTCTGAGTCTCTGGCGTAGAACTGTTGCACTCCAGTATAAGATCAGAGGCACGCTGGAGCTGACCTCAAGAAGCTGATGGCAAAATTTTCGGGAATTTTGTGAGTCAGTTGTCAAATGCAGTCATTATTAAAAATCAAATTATATAAACTTAAAATTTAAGTTACATTCAAAAGAAAGGTAATACTCAAAATTCATCAGTACCTTTCACTATTATTTACACACTGGAGGTTATTTATGCCTATGATATCTGTATTTGTGTTGTCAGATAAAATCCAGGATGCCCAGTTAAATCTGAATTTCAATAAACAATGAATAATTTTTTACTAGAGTTATATTACATGGAAATACTAAGACATTTATTTGTTGTTTACCTGAAATTCAAATCTAACTGGGCATTCTGGCTTTTTATTTGCTAAATCTGGCAGACTCCACGTGGAAGAAATACTGTATAATGGTGCATTACAACACCTTTCATCCCAACTCCATGCTTAGTGACTTTACGTTGATAACTTGAAATCAGTCACGGTGGGTGTATTTACCCCGCAGATATCAGCAGACACCACAAATCAGGGCTCCCACTCCCCAACCAGTTATTAAATATTTACCAGCACACTACTGAGTATAATCCATTTTAGTCATTCTAACAATATCGTATGGTGCTGTTCAGATGCCTAGAATGAACTGATTCTTTGATTATTTTGTCACTACGGTGAAAATAAATTCATTTATACGTATGCGCTTGTTATTTCCTCTGTGCTCACCATTCCGTGAAGAAGGTAATATCATTTGCAGGAAACTTCTAGTGGACAACTTTTGCCTTGAAGTTTTGAGAGAATCAGCATTAGGATTCTCCATTGATGACCACAAAAGAAACACATTTAAAAAAATTCCTTAAATGTTTCCTCTACAGAGATCCAACTAGATTTCCGTATCTCCGTATATTCTTTCAATTCATAAGCCTGTACAACTTTCGAAATTAGAGTCGTGTGGAGAATTGTACAGCGAGGGTTAAACTTGGGAGCACAGTTGTTGAGTGCAAGGAAGATGTGCGAGAGAAGCCGCGGTCTCTATGTTCACGGTTTTCTTTGTGATGACACAAGGGCTGATGCTCTGCTTACCATTAGCACGTGTTTCAGAGGATGCAGCAAGCAGAATACAATGGCTTACAAGTCAATTCATCCAGAATATTTTCATTTTATTTTCCCTTCAAATTAAATGAGTGAAATGAGAGAATGGATCAATTAATCAATTTAGTAGCTGGGCTCCGGGTAATCGAGGTCAGTGACCTTGGAGAGCTAATAAATGAATTTGATCCCAGGGACCACTGGCAAGATGAGTTTCTGGTTGCCTTGTTTTAATCATTCATGTGTGCCCTATTATTCACAGAGAGAGGCGCAGTGCTAGCCGCTCCCGACTCGCGTTCATCAATATTACACCGCAGAGGCGGGTGTTTCCAAGGCAGCTAAGTCAGAACAGCACTTTTCACTAAAAAATGTGAAAACCGAGGTACTCGTCTCCTAATATGCAACAGGCACAGAAGCGCATGTTAGGATTACCGCCGCTGGAATTCTCACCTGACTCACCTTTGCATCTTTCCATACTTGGCAACAAGATTCTTCTTCTTCTCTCTTTTTTTTTTTTGTATCTCAAAAATCATAGGACCAATCATTTAAAAGCATGGTAGTCATTCTCTTTGTGCAGATTTAAGCTAAATGCCTACGCTCCTTCGCATACTTGCTTACTGTTGCCTGAACAAGTCTGGATTTGAGGAATGTTAATATTTTAGTCATGCTCATTTTCTTCCACCAAATGAGAAGTTGAGTTTTGTCTCCACATATAAACTGTTACATACACAGAAACTGAATGAATTCTAATAAAAAACTGGGTTGTTTTGAAAAGGGTCATTTGAATGAAGAGTATAAAATAACGTAGCCAATGAATTTTTTACATGAACTGAAATAAAAAAACAAACAGGTCTAGAGACAGCCTAACACTCAGTTTCCAATGATCTTTGAAGCAGGAATTCTTCAGCCCATAAATAGTGATGATTCAACCCCAAAGAAAACTATCTGGAGTCTTCTTTTTGTGATGTCAAATTCCGGTAGGTAATTATGTCCCCTCTACTCTGATAATCCTTTAATTTATAAATTGTTTTGATGCTGCCCAAACTTACTTTGAGGACGTGACATTTCAAAGATGGGAAAAAATCATCCTTATTGCTTTAAAGAAGAGGAAGAATAAACACAGACTACGATGGAAAAGAGTGGCGTCATTTCGTCTTCCTTTTCTGTATACACACAGGACCAGCATAAACACTCAGAACTGGTCCTTAAAGGAATTACGTTTTGAGAACTGATCTAAAAAGAAAGAGAAGACCAGAGGAGAGGGCCCGGAAAAAGGATGTACATTTAGCTGGAGAGGTAGATGACATTACGGCCAAAGCAGAGCCGTCTATTTCAACGTCCAAAACAGCGCTGAGCCCAAGAGTTTGATTGAAAGGTACCAATCCCCTGGATACGTAGCATGTTGGAATGATTCTAGTCCCAATACTCTTCTTCTGACCGAGCTTAACTTTAACAGTTAATGCTTTTTAACTTTTATCTAGCATGTTGTAGTTGATATGACACTTTCATAAAATAACTAAAATGTGTTGAGTATTGAATGTGTCATTATCTCATTTAATTTTCACAGAAATTGCATGACATGGGTTCTATTATCCTACTTTTACAAGCAAAGACAGTGAGGCACAGAAAGCTGAAATAACTTGCTTTTTAGCCACTCCACACTCATGCCTCATCCTAGTCCTTCTGACAAGCTATGAGACAGGTACTGTCATGCTTGCCTAAGGGAAGAGCAATTGATGATAGGGAGACTGGAGAATTTGCTCAAGGTCACTTGGTAAATGATAAATAGTAAAACTGGGGCACCAAGCTGGGTTTCTAAATCCTTCCAAGTTGCTTACAGTGATATCTTTGTGAGTAGAAAACATGGGATGAGCTGTAAAAATTTATTTGGCTGGCAATAATTTTTGTGTGAATCTAAGTCTTTAAATCTATCTTCAAGACCTATATACGTGGATGCAATAAACATACATAACCTAATTTTAGCTCTGCGGATGTACCTTTAGGGTGTCACCTACAGCAGTCGACCCTGTGCTTTGCTGCTCTTGTTGTCTCTGAAGGGTCTAGCATGTGCCTGGCATATGGCGTGAGCTTGACACATCACAAATGATTCATGAATAAATGAATGCACGTGCCTGTCTGGGAACACACAGTACATACAAGGCAAGGACAGTTTCTCCTTAATGCGGGAGTGGAGACTCAGAGAGCCCTTGGTGAGCAGAGGAGGTGAGTGCATCGGAGACCACCTGCTTGGTTCATCTGCTCGCTGCCTTCGCCATGCTTGTGAAACAGAGTGTGCTTCGTGGAGCAGCAAGATGGCTCTCAGTCTGCCCCAGACACAACAGGCCTAGAAGGCAGAGTCTCCACTGCTTAGACGTCTTCCCTTCCATCTCTCTGCGCTATAGAACTCCTGGGCTCAGCCTCATGCAAATACGGGTGTTTTCCTGGAGCAGCAGAGTGCAGTCAACTGATGGATGAAAAATGGGTGGAATCCCAGTGAGTCACTTCGCCACCTATTTTTCTCATCAGTGAAAGGAAATTCAAGCTAGACGGCCCCTACCTCCCTCCCTTCCAGCCCTAAACCCCTGCAGCGTGTTGCCCATGGGGAAAACAGACTAGAGAAATACGTTCCAGGCTTGTCCCAGCTGTTCTCTGCAAACTGGATGCTTCAAACAGGACTGTCCACATCTTCTTACTCTGACATGGTGGCATAATTGTGAATAAATGAGAAATGTCCTTTCATGACAGCTTGGTTAACTAGCTACTTAGTATTTATTCTAATAACTAAACAAACAAACAAAACGTTTGATAACTCTAGTGACCTTGGTGAGCTCAGAGGTGAATTGGATCCAGGGAGGACTGGCAAGATCAAGTCTCTGGTGGCCTCGCTTTAATCATTTATGGGCACCTATAGGCTGTGTGTGTGTGTTTGTGTGTGTGTGTTCGTGTGTGTGTGTAGGAGTCAGATAAGGAGTGGACGAGGCACAGGAACAAAACTATTTAGCTGAATAAGCATTTGTTTTGTTTCCCCAAAACCAGATTGGTTGTCGTCAGGGTATTACCTAGAGATTATTGCTCAGGTCCGGATATGACAGGTGAGACCTTTTCATCACTGTTGGTGGTCTGGTCGCTGCATACAGAAGAGGAAACAGAATTTGACGAAGGAGTCCTTTTGTCCACTGGTTGGACCTAACACTGATCCTCACAAAGATAAAAATTGGAACAGATCAATGGAGTTCAAGCACAGACTATCTATGGATAAAACTCTTCCTGGAAACTCCACCTTAAGACTGCCATTCAGGGACAGGAGCGTCAGTTTATCTTATGAGCCAGGGTTTTCTAAACCTTTTTGACCATGACCCACAATAAGAAATATGAATTTCTCATTGTGGTCCAGTATACGTGTGTGTATCTGAAGAAATTTTCACTAAATAACATTTCTTCTTATTGTGTGATATGCTCTGACATTTAAAAAAAATCTCTTCTATTTTGCTTTTTTAAAATTATGGCTGTAATTCACTAAGTTGATTCATGACCCATTAATGGGTGGTGACCTGGGTTAAAAAATACTGTTTGAAGCCAACGATATCTTACCAAGTCCATATATATATACTATATATATGTAAATAAATATAACATATATAAATAAATACAAATATATGTAAAGATACATATATGTATGTACATATATATAATAGTTGTTTGCCCTCAGAATAGTTGTATCCCAATATCAATGAGCCATGTTATAATGGAGCAGCTCTACTGTGAATATTTGCTTTTTAAAATTAGCAGCAGTATTGATCACTTTTCATAGTCGTCAATGAAGACAGGCCAGCAGCTGCTGCTGTCCTCTGCAAAGACTCTCCTCTTTGATATCAGAGATTTCCTCGGGGCCCAAGTGCTCCAGCTGAGAGGGGGTTTAACTGATACAACTTGAGGGGAGAGGAGCCCCCTCTTTCCACGCCTCTGCCCCTCAATGGGCTTTGGGAAGTAGATGAAGCAGGGGAGAAGGGTGGACCATGGACATCAGCTCCACTGTGACTGACCAGCTGCCTTGAGACACTGTGCTGGCCTGGGAGGAAGAAATATCATCAAGCGGTACCATTGCCGTTCAGCCACTGCATCTCCCCGGTGGACACTCACTGAGATTGTCTCACCCATTGCTGTTTCTTGTTTTCACAGTGTAGACTCAGCGTTGTCAGAGATTGCAATGCTCATCGGTATCCATGTTCGTCTCTTCTTTCTGAGGACACGGTTAGACCACCTTCCCTGGCAGTTAGATGTGGTCATATGATTGAGTTTCGGCCAACGATGTGAGTGGAACTGATGTGTGTCCTTCCAGACCTGGCCCATAAGAACCTCCCCAGCCCACTGTGACCCTCTTCCCACACATGCTGCTGGCTGAACAGAGAGGACTCTGATGGCCGAGAGGAGAGAGAGTCAACCTCCAACTCACATTGTGCATGGAATTCTCCTTTATGATGTCAAGTCATTGAAATGTGGGGGTTGTTACAGCAGTTTGCTTACCTTGAGTGGTCTCCTTCAAGAGTCTCTTAAGTATAGTGATTTATCCACTTTGCCTTCCTTCAATCCATTCTTCATAGCATGGCTTCAATGGCCTTTGCTTATGAATTAATCATGTCAACTCTCCCACCCGCTTCCTGTCCCCATCATGCCTAAAATGTTGCAATGGCTTCCATTTGCTTCTAGGATAAAGCCAAAACTCCTTAATGTGGCCTATATGGTTTGGGTCTGCCTACCTCTCTACCTTGATCTTCCGTCATCTCTCACCTCACTCTTCCCACTTTGATGACATAGGCCTTCTCAGTTGTTCCTTCTCCTTGTCCTCTCTCTGGCCACAGGGTTTTTGCATATCCTATTCCTTCTGCCTAGAATAGTGGTTGATAAAATGTTTTCTGTAAAGGTACAGATAGTAAATATTTTAGACTTTGCAAACCATGTGGTTTCTGTCCCAACTAGTTGAATCTTGGTGCAAAGGCAGCCATGGACAATATGTAAACAAGTGGATGTGACCCATTTGGCCCATGGGCCATAATTTTCTGATCCATAGGCCAGAATGTTCTTTCTACCATTTTTCCTAATGAATAGGACTATGCATCCTTATCTCTTCTCCAAGGAAACCTTCCCTGATAACTTTGACTAGATCAAATCCTTCTATTACGTGTTCTCATAATACCAGGTATTACTACCTTCCCTAAGTGATACACTGGAAGTTTGCATTGCCCATGAGTGATCAGAAGGAGCTTGTAAGCCTCTTGCTTATTCATTATTCGTCATTTATTGTTATGTGAAATAAATGGGCACCTCTGATTGGTTGCCTGGTACACAAGACAGGGTAAAAAGGTCATTGTTCTAGCCTCTGTGATTTAAAATAATACATTCATCCATTTGTTCAATTGACAAATATTTGTTGAAATTCCATTGAGTTGCAGAGGACTCCACGGTGTATAAGACATGAAGCCATTATTTCAGATATCTTGGTGATTGTTTTCCCATCTGAAAAATAAAAATGGGGGGACAAACAATAAAAATGGAAGCAATTAAAATAGTGCTTTTGGCACCATGCGTGTAACAGTCTGATCGGTGTACTCATTTGATTTGCAGGATACTGTTGGTTAAAGAGGGTATGGAGTGTGTTGCTGACACACGCACTAATTTTCTCCTTCTCAGATGCCATTTGTCCTGGGCAAGTTTCATAGATTTCTTCTTGGCATGTGAAGCCTAAATATCTAGAGCTCTTTCCATCACCTGCCAGATCTGGGAAGTTGCTGCACCACCAGAATCAGAATGGGGTGCTTCTCTGCCCGTGAAGACTTTGGTCAGAACCATATGCGTTCATCCAGCCATCTTGAATCCCCATCTTACATGGCAGCTATTGTCTGAAAAGAAGGCTGGGAAAAACAATACTCCAACATTCGCGCAGACATAGGAACTGGACTTTCTAGACGCTTCTGGGTGTTATTGGCTACATATCTATGTTTACATGGATGGGAGCTAAGAGTATCTTGAGCGAGACTTGACATTATTGCCCACATCTCAGTTTAAGATTGAGCTGTCACTAAGCACAGACTACGTCCAGCACTAGTGCACTTTACACCCGGCTCTGCTTGGTTTCAACAGGCTAGAAGTGAAAATTATTTCAAAAGCAGAATCACTTTGGGTCAGCCTAGTGGTGCAGTGATTGGGTTCATGTGCTCCACTTCAAAGGCCCAGGGTTCATAGGTTCAAATCCCTGGTGCAGATGTACGTACCATTTTCCAAGCCATGCTGTGTCAGGCATCCCACATATAAAGTGGAGGAGGATGGCACAGATGTTAGCTCAGGACCAGTCTTCCTCAGCAAAAAGAAGAGGATTGGTGGCAGATGTTAGCTCAGGGCTAATCTTCCTCCAAAAACAAAAAACAAAAAAAGCAGAGTCGCTTTAAATCAAAAGCAAAAAATCATGTGTTCCTGCCTGCCTTCCCCCAGCCAGCTGCGTCTGGCCCATCGATTTGTTTGATTTGGCTCTCACAGTGTTTAAACAACAACAACAAAAATTGGATTTGTTGATGTAGGAGATTTCATATAAAAAATCTGAATTTCTGGCATCTGGGGGGTCTGGCAGCCCTGGGCCGCATTCCCACGTGGGAAGGAAGTGTGATGTTGCCCTGCTTAGATGAGCCATGGACTTGCCAGGATGCTGCCCGTCACTGACCACCTTCGCTCCTTTGCTGACCTTTCCGGCTTCTCTGTGCCACGAAGTCTGAGTTTGTCCCTGCTGGATGGAAAGCAGGGTTAGTGGCACAGACCTATTCTTGTGTTTTAAAGAAAATGGCTTTTATCAATGCTGCTGTGTTATTCGGATATTTGTATATCATCTTGTATTTTTACAGGTGTCTTCCCCTCAAGGAACTCGAAAGACTATGCAAAAGTTAAAGGGTAAAAACCCCACTGACCCCCCTTGGCCAGGTGGCCTACAGTGTCCTGAGGGACAGCAGAATCCAGGGAAATGCCTGATGGGGAAGAATGTGCCTAGACGGGCGTTCTGCCCTACGCAAGGGTCTCTTCATGGCTCCTTGATGGACGCTGAGCTGACGAGTCAGATGAGGATGGGAAGAGGAGCCAGTGGGAGCAGAAACATCCTCTTCAACCGACAGGGGGATTTGTTAGGGGCCTGGCTACTGCCACACACAGGCTGGGTCTTGTCCCAGAAGATCCAATTTTGGAGAAGAACCTGAAAGGGTGAGTAGCAACTTATCAGGTGGAGGTGGACCTTAGAGAGCAAGTTAGCAGGAACAAAATGAGCAGAAGCTTAGAAATATTCAAATCAATGTGAGGGAAGAGGGGACTAAAAGTCATGAGAAATTTCTGTTTTCTTCGATTTACATCCCCTGTAACATGGGAGCATTTAGACCAGATACACTGCTTTGCCTCGAGCCCTTTTAGAGTCAGTTGCTGGAAGGGTGATCCATGGACCAGTAGCATCGCATCACCTGGGAGCTTCTTAGGGATGTGGACTCACAGACTCTGCTCCAGACCCGCTGAGTGAGTGCCCAGAGGATTCAGACACGTTAAAATGTGAGAAGCACAGCTTTTGAAAGTAATGAGGTTTGGGATCGGGTAACCGTAAAGTGACTTTTTCCTCTCTCTTTTTTCCTTCCCATTTATTTAGATGTCATTTGACCATGAGACTAAATTGGCCTGAAACCTGAAAATAATGGGAACAATGCCTGATTTGTCAAGGTGGCTGGCACAGAGGCCCTTAGTAAATAATATAATTACTATTACTTCATTAAAAAAAAGAAATTATGTTTTTTCTAAATAAATTGAGACTTGGTTTGCTCATCATCCTTTAAAAAAATCACATAAATAGTAGTTATAATAAACATCAGGTAGAAATAAATAGTCTCTTAAAAACATGGACCTCAGTCTTGCCCTTTGGACTCAAACACTAATAAAAGGAATAAAGATTATTGCATTATTTATTACATTCATGAGCTTACTTAAATTCCAGTTTACGGCAGGAAGCTATATAAAAATATTCTTGTATTTTTCATTTGATGAGTAATGAAGATGATAAATTGATCACTCTGGGAGATAAAGATATCATTATTGAACTCGTGCTGCCTGCCTAACGTCGCACACTTCATCCATTCTCCACAACAGGCATTGACAGCCTGAGTTTATAAATGAGGAACCGAAGGTCGCAGATGGTAAGTTGCTTATGTAAGGTCACACGATTATTGTTTTGCACTCAAGATCTAAACACGCACTTGAATCCAAGTTCCACATTATTTTCTCTTCCCTGCAGTGTCCCTGGACTGAACCTCAGATTTTTAACTCCTCTGCGACCCAGCAAGTTTTTCTTTGATCTTGACCATCAAAATGGAAGGGCCCTTTCTACTTGATTTCATCTTTCCTACTCAAAGAAAAACATTAAAAAAAATACTGGTTGTACTTACAGAGATTTTTTCTTTTCCTGATTATGGAATCAGTCAGGTTTATTTGGTAAAATTTGAAAAATATGGAAGAACGTAATGAATAAAGTAAATAATACTCATAATTCTCTCACTGGAAGATAACCCTACCACTCAGAGATAACCACTGTTAACGTTACATTATAGATGCTCCCTTTGCTAATGAAAACGTATATCTTAAAGAAATAAAATTAGCTCATATTACATATGTTATTCTATAAGAAACATTTCCACATGTCAACAGATACTATTTCTACAATATAATTTTCATGGTTCCCTGGTATCTCCCTCATCGACAGACTAATATAAAGTGCAGGCACCCTTCTAAGTACCGTTGAAATACTCTCTCACATACAAAAAATGTAGCAGGTGATTTTATTATCTCCATTTTAAATATGAGGAAACTGAAGTAATGTAGTATTCCCTGATTTTGATCCCATGGCTATTAAACGGCAGAGCTGGGGCTGGAGCTCCTGCCGTCTGGATCTAGGGCAACGTCCTCAGCCCCTCTGCTCCATGAGCCCGTGGAACCTTCAGAAGCCTTTATAAAAGCTGCTGATGGACTCCTGTGAAATTCTCCTCTATAGCACAGCCAGAGCCCGCTCTGTTGGGGCAATATCATGGTGCCTTTTTTCCCCTTTATCCTTTCATTTCCTTCACAAACTTATATTTATTTTTAGTAATAATTATCTTTGCGATCAATTGAGACTGTGTGTAGACACGTGCCCCACACCGGGGCCTGACGGGCTCAATAAATGGTACTGAAAAAGAATTCTTATATTCTTTTTTCTTTTTCTTTCTTTCCTTCCTTCCTTCTTCCTTCCTTTCTTTCCTTTTTCCTTTCTTCCTTTCTTTCCTTTCTTTTGCTAGAATTTAGTTGTTTGATTTTACTCACCAGGACCAAGTTAGACTAAAACGCATACAATATTTTATGAGGAAAAAAAGAAGCCTGGTTTCATAGTTCCAGATGA